CTTTCAAAAGCAAATTAATTAAAAATTTCTAGAAGGAATTTAATTACCCTGAAATTACACAGACACCCAAAAAATGTGTCCCACTAAAACTCGTTTCTGACATTAGCTGGGCTGTGGCAGAAGCGGTTGTGAAAACCTCAGCTGAAGTGACATACTCAAGGTTAGGCAGAAAGCCAGTGTTTTCAGTTTAAACCCTTGTCATCCAGGAACTACTGGTATGTGGTGGTGAAATGCATGGAGCTTAATTTTGTAGAAAAATTATACAACACATTTTTAATCAGAAGTTTGATATTAGGTATCAAGCTGATTTAGGACAGAAGATTGCTGAAATGTAGCATGTTTCCAACATGGGCCTATAGCTCAGCTGCTGGGAGTTACCAGAAATCTCAAGAAAATCCTCTACAGCCATGTCCTAGCTGGGGAAAAAAGCATCATTGTAGACCATGTGAAACTAACTTATTCTAACTGAGGGCTGTCCACATGGTGTCCCATGGGCGCCATCTGGCCCCTAATCAGAGGCCCCTGGACTCCCAGTTCAGGTACTGCACTCTCCTGCTGCTGTAGGTGGAATCTCTAGGCTCCCCCATCCTCCTGCTTGCACTGCCTGCCCCCATGCCTGCAGATGAGATGGAGCAACATAGCAGAGCCCACAGGGCTGAGGTAGCCTGTGGCTGGAGAGACTTGAGGGAACCTGGGAACCTTTGTGGCATGAGAGCACTGGTGTGCCATAGCAGGGGAGAGGAGGCCCATGCAGCATGGTGCAGTGCAGTGAGGGGGCCCACACGGTACAGCATGCCACGTGGCATGGTATGGGGCACCAGCATGGTACAGCTGAGGAGGGAAGATTTTTGTGTGCAGTTTTTCATTATTCTTGTATGGATCTGTAAGTCTGTTATGTTATGTGTGTATGTAAGAGTGGCTTTGCAAAGACTCTGTTCCTTGCTTTGTTACCTGTGCCTGCTGATCAATCTCAGTGGGCTAGAAATGTCCAGAATCTAGTGCTTGGATCTGAATGCAGTGCTGATTATAAATTGGTTATTTCAGCATAACCCAGTCTATTTTGAGTGTGTTTAATATTATACTAATAAAACTTGTTAGCTTCCTGGAATGTTGCATTTTCCCTCTACAGACAAGGTGACTTGCTATTGACTGCTTGACTTGCTTGACTGACATTACCATTTGCTATATTCTGTAGTTCTTCAGGAATTGGGGGGAAGTGGAGCAGTGTCAGAAACAGGCTTCCTTAATTGAGAAGACAAAATAAAATGAATATCTCATTAATTAAATGGAAGTAGTTTAATCTGTGTAAAGCAGCTTTACTGACATAAATGTGCTTATACTAGCATGCTTTATTCTTGTATGGCAGGAGTGTCAAACTCACCTGGGGTCCTGGGTAGATTCCAACCGTGGGGCTCCTCATGGGCTAGATCCGGCAAGGGGCAACCACTGCAATAACAACAGTAGCAGTGGTGAATACAGCCACTGCAGAGGCATTGGGGCAACCAGCCACAGGCTAGGGAGTTGCTTGCCATAGTGGAGGTGTGCAAGCAGCAGCAGGCCAGGTAGCTGTAGGTGACTGAGGGCTGTGTGGCACAGCCCTTGCTCACCTCTCCATGTCCACCTGGACCACAGAGACCTGGGTTCTGCAGCAGGTCCTATCTATCACTGGCCATAGCCCCAGCTTCTGGCTAACTCAGGGGTGGGCAAAATATGGCCTGGCTAACTCGGGGGTGGGCCATTCTTTCCAGCCTGTGGGACCCCTAAAAAATTTAGAAAATATTTATCTGCTCCTGGCTGCCTGTCAAAGATGACAGGAGCCAGGGGCAGTAGGAGTCAGGGCAGTAAGACCCAGGAGTGCTGGGGGCAGGAGCCCAGCCCTGCCCCAGCCATTTCCCTGCCTTCCTGCCCCCGCACTGCTACAGCACCACTTGGCTCCCAGGTGCATCACTGGACTGGGGGCATGGGGCTGTGCCAGTACAAAGGCGGGGGTATAGGGAGGAACTGTGTGTGTGTGTGTGTGTGTGTGTGTGTGTGTGTGTGTGTGTGTGTGTGTGTTCGTTCATTCACAGGGTGAGTCCCACCTGCACACCCCACCATACACATACACCCACACGCCCTTGCAGTGCCATACACGCAGACCCCTACACCCACACCCCCTCACACATCCCAGCTACCCTCCCCTCACACAAACCTCATACACACCCACCCCACATTCACACCCACATGCTCCCTCACCCCACACCCCCACACCTATCCACCCACCACAGATGCACCCACACCCTCCCCCATACCTGACATACCCCCCAAATCTATACCCACCCCTCCACAATATACAAGAGTAAGACTTCATGTTAAGCTATTATATACAATCACTTCTGTGTCCACTACAGAAACACATGTAAACCAGGACAAAAATATTTTTTGAGATTGAATTAATTAATGTTTTAGGTGTTTGCCCCTCACCCCACACCCCCACACCTATCCACCCACCACAGATGCACCCACACCCTCCCCCATACCTGACATACCCCCCAAATCTATACCCACCCCTCCACAATATACAAGAGTAAGACTTCATGTTAAGCTATTATATACAATCACTTCTGTGTCCACTACAGAAACACATGTAAACCAGGACAAAAATATTTTTTGAGATTGAATTAATTAATGTTTTAGGTGTTTGCTTTTTAGACTATAATTTAGTATTTTTCTGGTTCTGAAATGGCAAAACCCCTTGCTGAAAGGAGTACTTCTGGGGGCAAGGGGAGGGATTTCTGGTGTCAAAGGTCAGGGGTTAGGGGGCGGGACTTCCACTCCCAAGATGGTGACCAGGGGGCAGGATACCTGTCAAGGGACGGAGCTACCCATGCAGCTCTCAACAGCTTGCCAAAACTCAGGAAGCAGCCTTCCATCCAGAATAATTGCCTACCCCTGGGCTAACTGCAGGCTGGATGATGTTTCTCCATGGGCCATATTTTTGACACCCCTACTGTATAGAAAAAGGAGTGAGCTATGCTGTTAGTAGCCACTTTTACAAAGGTCTGTGCTAGAAGAATATATTGATGTAACCTTTTGAAAAAATAAGAGTAATCATACTCCAACCGAGGTTAGTTAAATTGTTAGCCCAGTCTGGATGCACAGTAAGTTTTGGTTCTAGTCTCTAATTTCTGTACTGTATAGAGCGCAGGGGTCAACAGCCTGTGGGCTGGATCCAGCTCATAGAGTCAGGGGGGCTTTGCCCTTTGGTAGTGGGGAGTTTCTCCTGTGCGGTGCCACACTGCATAGTTGGGCTGTGGGGAGCTGTGCCTGTGCCTTGGCAGTGGTGGCTGAGTCCTAGTACTTGTCTGCCTCGGATATGAACCAGGTCATCACAGCTCACCGCTACAGCAAGGTTGCCAACTGCTGGTATTGAGTCCTAGATACTATTGCTGTATTATCCCTGTTAAATATTTTTAAGTAAAATGTTTGTTTTCAGTTTCTGGTTTTGAATTTTAATACAAGGGTGCTAGACTCATTCAGATCTAGCCCATCTAAAATACCTTTCACTTCTCCCAATGAACCCTAAATTCCTCAGGTGGAATATCTAACTTTATGGTCCCAGGCAAAATTCTATGTTCTATGATGAAAGCTTACTAGCCGACCAGCAGGACCATATTGAAACAAACTGAAAGGTCTTCCTTACTGACTAGTTGACATTACCATCTAATTATACCCAACCTGCATAGAGCCTCGCCCTAAGAGGCAGAATTTGAAGATAAGATTTCTTTAAAATAAAAAGATAAAATACCTAGAAAGGACATGTGGATAGTCCCCTCACAGAATATTCTAATTTTCCTCTGGGATTGAATAACCTAGTTTATCAAGAACGGCCTGCAAAAGGAATCTTTGTGTTACCAGGATTATATAATATTGTTACAATGCCCTCTAAAACATTTAAAATGCTTAAACTGTGTTTCTTATGGCCAAATTGCATTTCAATCAAGTTAATTTTGTTAAACATAACTCTTCCATACATCCTCACTCTTCTCTGTTGCCTTGGAGGGGTAGGCAAAAAAGATTAGTCTGATGCTTTACTTGGATGAAGAAATTGCAGTGAACAAGCTAAAGCTTGATTTTTCTGAAAAATAACTGCTAGTCCCATCAGCAATTTGTTATTTTACATTCATAAACTAAAACACAGTTTTCTGTAGTTCAGAGAATATTTATTTTTCCATTTCCTAAAATGTACCAGGTCAATTCTAATGTTTGTAAGAATTCCCTTCCTCTTTCATTCTAGTCACATAACCATATCCAGAGAAACCAGAATTCTTGAAAAATGCTTGTAGGAGCATTGTTGTACATATTAAGTATTTTCTGTAATCCAAAGAACTGTTTGTTGAGTGTTAATGTGGACATCCACTCATCTAAAATAGTTAACAAAGGCATTAAATATTTACATAATAAAACTTACTGTACTTATTAGTATGCTCATATGGTCTGCTTAAAGTACTAACTACTTCTCACCTGGGTCTGGCCTTTTCTGATTTCTATCATCTCCAGCTCTGAGGAGTCAAATTCTGTCAATGCGGTGCACATTAGTTTATCTGTGTACAGCAATGACAAAAAAATAAAGTATTTCTTTTAGAAATGATTTTGCAAGTAATTATTTTACATTTCTAAAATAAATTATAAAATAGTTGTGTTTTCCAGTTATTTTTGGCACAATAGCTAATGTCCATGTATTTGTTTTTTTTATATATTATGTTTCTGTGGAGATTATTAAAAGTCACTGTGCTCTGAAAGGGTAAATCATTTACCTCAGCAGAAAATGTAGTTTCAGTAACAGCATTAATTATTCATAGAGAGGAACTGGAGCATGAAGCAGTTTGTCAAGTTTAAAATCCTTTTCTCAGTACAGTGCACCTTCAAAGGGCAAAATAATGAAGCATAAATTAACAAACATCAGCTTGACTAAGCTTTCTCTCTCTCACCATCCCCCTTTTCTTCCCATATGTACTTAGGTTGGTTCTCTCCTCTGTTTCGGACTACTTTGCAGCAATGTTTACAAATGATGTACGAGAAGCAAGACAGGAAGAAATCAAGATGGAAGGTGTAGATCCAAATGCACTGTGGGCTTTGGTTCAATATGGGTATACAGGTAATACACTTTTTAAAAAGGGTGATAAAGTTGGTCTAATGACTTGTTAAGTGAACATCTCATTCCATTATTCCATTTCAGATGTTTGGTAGACTTCTGTTGCTGCCATTATTTGAGGCCGTTTAGCAAGATATAGTACCTTAGTTTAACAAGATACAGTACCTTTGTAGTTAGGTTGGCAATCTGTCAGCTATTTCAGACGCACCGAGTCTGAAAAAGGAGTACTGTATTAATTATTCTGTTGCACTGTTATAGAAGTTAACTTCTTAAAAAAAAAGTCATTTTTCAGCTCGTTTGGAATGGTATTGCCAGATCTTATGTTCTGTTATGCAGTTTGCAAAAAGTACTTTGCTGCATCTGTTTTTTGTCTGGTTTAACAAAAGATTAAAACAAGGGAAATTACCATTTGGGGCATTGTTTCCCTCTTTTACCATTTCTTAGTAATAAAAATTGCTTTTTTAGGGACATGCTCTTTATGGAATTATTATCAATATTCTTTCATAAATAATGAGATCATGTCTTGTAATTTTGCTAGGTCGCCTTGAATTAAAAGAAGATAACATTGAGTGCCTGTTATCTACAGCTTGCCTTCTCCAGCTGTCTCAGGTTGTAGAAGCGTGCTGTAAGTTCTTAATGAAACAGCTTCACCCATCCAATTGCCTTGGAATTCGCTCTTTTGCTGATGCACAGGGTTGCACTGACTTGCACAAAGTGGCTCACAATTATACCATGGTATGTCCTTATTTCCAGCATCATCCATTCATTGATTTTTGTAGCAAGGAAAATGTAGAATATCTTCCAGTGTAAAAGAAATATTTACCCTGAGAGAACTTTTGTTGTTATCTGAGCTATTTAGTTGTGACATTAAGTATTCTTTTCTATTTTGGTGGTATTCCATCTCTTCAGGAAAAAAGTCATGTGTAAAAATTTCAAAAGCGCCATGACTGAAAGTCACTATATTTTGAAAATGCTACCCAGTATTTCACAATGTACAAAAAATAACTCATAATATTGCTTACATTATGTATACTATGAGTATTGAAATCAAATAATTAAAATGTAACTTATAATATTTTTTTTTTTACTTTTAAAAACTCACATTAGCCCAGTTTACTTTGCAAGCAAAGGACAAGTCAGTCTTTCAGTAGAGGAAGCCAAAGAGAATAATGGGTGAATTTTACTGGCAAAGAGCATATAGTGGTGGTATCCTCTAAGTGTGTGGAAGAGTTTCTACAAATGTTTGTCAAGAGAACCAAATATTACTGGGGGAAGCAAGGGGCAAAGAGAGACTGGAGGTACCCAGATCTGCAGTTCAAATGGCAGGCTCTTCAGAGTCCAGTGATATTATCTACTTTATTCACAACTTGTTTATTTCTTGATGTCACAATGAAAAGTTACAAATATATGTATTTTAGATAGAAGCTTTTTAAAAAATATTGATGTTATTTATTTGTAAATGAATGTTATTTATTTGTAAATTGCTCTGTGCTATATAATATTGAGAAGGCATTTTCCCTATTCCATTCAGCTTTTCCCCTAAAATAGGTATATTAATTTAGAATTTTAAAATAATTTGTTTAATATCCTGATTGGTAATTATGGAAAAATAAATACAAAAATTCTGTTAGACACTTTAGAAAAAATGTGCTTATTTAAATTTATGTAGGAGGCTATGATTTTAAAAGTTAAATATGTAAAAGCAGGCTACTGAAAATATGGAGGAAACGATTACCAATATGAGCCATAATTCAGAACAGTATTTTTAAAGCAGGGGCTTAACGTTAAATAGAGAGATTATTACATTAAAGTAAATGGAATTGCTTAAGCCAGGAGTGCTCAACCTCTGGTTTCTGGCCCACAGCGTTGTCATCTGGTCTGCAGGCTCCGCAGGTCCAGAAATTTGGTGGCAGGAGAGCAGTGCCACTGTTCCACTGCTGCCACATCTCCAGACCCATGAGGAACCTTTGGCCCTGAATCTGGCATGGGGCCAGACATGGGTGGCAGTGGGCTCCAGGGCCCAGTCCCAGTAGAAGGGTGCAGTGCCAGGCCACTGGGATCCAATCCCAACACATAAGGGTTAATGCACAGGGGGTGGTGCTTGGCCCTAAGAGCTGTTTCAGCCTGCAGGCAGGCCCTGTGTCAGTCATTTGGCCCACAGGACCAAAAAGTTAAACACTGCTGGCTTAAGCTTCTGAATGTTAATTTAAGTATGTACTTAAATGGTTTGCTCAATAGAGTCTTGATTTGTTAAGAATGACAGATTACAGATGAACTTATTTCAAGAAAAAAACAAGCTGCTAAACGTGCTGTTTTAGTGACCATAGCCATACTGTCACAGGACCATGTTAGAGAGTACCATAATGAAGTATACCACACCTGCCTGGCATACACTATAACCCTGCCTGGGAATGTATATTTTAATGCAGTGGTGGGCATGAACCAATAACCACTCCCAAGTGCATGAGTTTATGGGTGCATGCCCAACCCTGGGCCAAGGTAACTAGAATACATCCATTTTGGTGGATAGTGCAGGTACAGTTGGTGTGGTAAGTTTGTGGGGCACTTGGTTTGTGTAGTCCTTTGACAGAATAAATGTGCCCAAGAAATTGAAAGAAAATATGCATGAGCCATTCTTTTTAACAATACCAAGACTGTCAAGAAAATAATTCTTACCGGTACAATTCTTACCGGTTTTGATCAGAAGCTGTATTGCCATCATGTGGTCCCATGCCTTGAGATGAGATGCTACTATAGTAAACATTCATTGTTCTATTCGTTGATAAATCTGGAGTGGGTTTATCAAATTCTGAAAGTTACTAAGTTACACTTAGTTTGTGAACATTGGTCTCTCAATGAATATTTGTTTTATTCTCTCACGTTAGTAATGAAAGGCTGTCTTTTATGTACCAGTATAAGATCAAGGAATATATTTATGTATTAAGGTAGAATCACAAATGGCTAAATGCAAAAATATTCCCAATGAAAGTGAGGATTACTGTTTACACGAAAGTTAATTCTCTGACTTCCTTAAATTCTGTCCCCTAACCACCATCTCTCTTTCTTTTTTATATTTTTCTCCTTTCTTGTCTCAGAGGTATCCTTTTGAAACAATGTTGTTAGGTGAGGAGGGCAAGAGTCATATCTGTATAAGGCCAATCAGGATTCCTCTTTGTACATGGGGTTTCTAGAATTACTTGTCATGCTGTTTCCTCCTCCTCATGACAGCCTTGCTGACTAGCTCTTGGGACACGAACTTTGGCCTTTGGATACCATATGAAGAAGCTGGGCATTAATGATAACACTTAGATCTCTTATATGCCATTGCTCTGTTCTGCCCTGCACACAGTTGTCATTAAACTGTTGGTCCAAATCCAAAAGATGTAATTTTGGTTTCTTAATTAGAATTGAGTTAATTGAAGCATAAATCCATGGGGGGCGGGTTTTCCCTTCTGAATTTTTGCTTACCCAAACCCATTGTTTTAGGTTGGGTTCTTTTGGAGGGGGGGAGTTATTTTTAATTTCTTCCTGTCTTAAAACATACAAGTTTAATAAGAAAAACTAAGATAAAAAATCCCACTTAATTCTTGTTGTGTGTGTCATATAATTCTGTCTGTCAGGTAGGTCTTTGCCATGTTTAAAAATGCATGTACACCAAAGTTTATCACTATACATCAATAACAATGTGCAAATTACAGCTCATACTAAAATGGAAAGTATGTTTTACTGGTAAAAGTATGGGCCCAAGTAGAAGAACAATCAGATGAAACTAAGTAAAGCAGAAGATACATATCAGAAATAGTAGACTTACCATATTTAATGAAATCCAGGAAAAGATTTTTTCCCCATTCAGCATGGGGGGAAGCCCCTCATCTTGGATTCAAGTACAGGGTCAGAGCCAGAGCCACAGCAGCCTTAGTTCCTGTCTGTGCCTCTGCTCTGCTCTCAGCCCTCCCCCCCGCAATCTCCTTCTTTACTCTCAGGCACAGCTCCAGCTCCATTCCCTTCCAGGGCCTGCCCAGCCAGTCAGTGGTGATACATCTCTGGCCCTGGGACACTGCTGCATGGCCAGGCAGGAGCTGTTCTTCCATGTACTCCATGCCTGGGAGAGAGTGGAACCAGCGTTGTCTCATTTTTTCAAAGTTGGTTTGTAACAGACTCCACATCTTTCTTTTGGTAAGAAGTTCTTCAGGCCACAGGAAAATGGTGGTACACCTTTTAGGAAAATTATTGTTTACTTCATTTGCCACAATTGCTGTTTTTAAGGCTTTGACAGGAATGAAATTTAAATTAGATGGATTTAAAAAGCCATTTTCAAAACTAATTAGTTGTGCTCGATGGATTCTTCCTAAGGCTTTTTTTAATGTTGCTTAGTTCCAACAGAGACATGAAATTGAATTTTAGTAATAATGAGTAATACAGAAGTAGCTCTTTTGGTTTGAAACTAATGTTGCTATGGAAACTGCATAGAAATCTATAGTCCAATTGAGTCTTCAATTAAAATAAATCCCTGAGTAATTTTCATTTGTTTTAAAAGCTGTTTGAAAAAAGAAAAATGTTAATACTAATACTAGCCACTTGATGCTCATCCATTAAAAATATCAGAGCAAAAGGGTTAAGCATACTATAGTTCCTGTAAATTCTGTTGTTTATTAAGAGACATGATTTATGCTTATGCTGTTACAAATTACCATGGTTTATATTATAATGATGGTAACTAAAGGATATTTTGTAGGTTTTTTCCATACTATTTTCCAGTCCTTGAAATTTGAGGTAAATAAACAATATATTTATATTTTAACTTAAATACGTTTACTTTCTTAGTTTTGCTGCTTTTTTTTTTTGTCTGATGTTGGGAACAGTTCACCATGCAATTGTGTTCCTTCAGTTAAAACCACTACTCCATTTTAAACTTCTATCGAAAAGCTCTGATTGTAACCATGAGTTTTTTGATAAGCTACTCAATTTGCATTTAAAACAATTTTATACATTGAGTTGAAATGGCCATTTTCTCAGAATAAAAAATCCATCAGTGAATAATCTCAGTGGACCCAACTCCAATAATAGACTTTCTTTATCTCAGCAGTGTCCATTAGTGTCACTTAAAAGCATTGGCATAGTTTCAGTCAGTGTAGTATAGTCAAGTATAAATAAAAGTAAAATGGATTTGAATACAATAGTTCAGATTAAAAGTATGTATGTAGCTCTTGTGCTAAAAGAACATGTGTGTTTCATAATTTAATGGTATACTCTAACAGTCAATAAACTACTCTGAAGAAGAGTAAGAAAAATCGTCAAGGTTATTATCAAAGTAAGTCAGTTTTGTGGCCTTGTAAAAACATGACAATGCCTGAAAAATACTTAGGATCTAAGGAGCAAAACATGCCAACATTTTGAAAATGGCAAGTGGTGGACATAACAGCTTTTAAACAGACATTGTGGACCTGATTTTTTATGGACTAGGTATAAAATGCCATTATCAAAAGGAATCTTGGTTTTCCCTGATAAAAATTTGCAAATTCTCTAAATAAACCCCCCCAAATCTGTGATTAAAGTGAAAAGCCCCTCACCCCGCCCCCAGCCTCCACAGCCTTGCTGGTGCCTCTTACTCCCCCCCCCGCCACAGCCCCCTGCCCCTAATAGGATGTGGCAGTTACGGCAGTGGAGTGGAGCACGGAGCCCAACTGCCTGCTGCAGACTCGGGTGAGAGTTGGGGCTGGCTCCCCGCCACTACA